CTGTACCTCACCACCTGCAACCTGCCCTTCAACTAACTGTGGTGTACTACAGGTAGCGTGATTTAAGAAACTTGAACCATAGTTTCAACTTCTGTGCTGGGAGTTTGAATCGAACTGGCGATCTCTGGATTGCTAGTCAGTGTGCAAACCATTACATCATGGCAGCTTGTATGGCATTACATGACAAACTAAGGTGACATTCTACTTTAAATGTTTTTCATGGAAACACAGCTGTAATTTTCCACACGAAGCAGTTCAATAATATACAATTCGTACATTGATATGGTGGCAAAAATGAGAGGTTGAGATGTGATCCAAGTGAGACAACTGGAGCTTTCATACCACAGTTGTAATACACAATGAATTGTTAATGTTTTTTTTTAAGTTGTTATATGTGGCATTGTGAAGTTAATGGAACACAAATGTGTGGATAGATGAAATTCAATACATTTTTCAATTTCCCATGTGTGTGTTGCTATTGCCTGGACAAGATAAGGTTTGGAAATAGTATCCTGTTATTGCAATACTCCTAAGCGTGATCTCACTGTGACAGTATCGTATCAGTACCGTCCCTTTGGAGAGCAGTCAAATATGGATTTTGTTTGTTGTACATTTGTGAATTTCTATATTTACAATCACAGGCTGTTGTGATGTTCTTTCAGAATGCACACTTGTCAATACACCTTGTAATCAAGGTGGTGTAGGCTGTTTGAAATAAATCTAGTTCATGGAATTCTGTAAATGAATGAAGGTAATCATCATTATCACCAACCTTAGTCAATCGACTGCTGATGTTATAATCCATCTGGTATTTGTACACAAGCTGATTTAATCGCTCCACTTACTCAGTAGAAGTCGTCTTGGACACATTCTGTTCCTTGGCTGCCGCGATATAATTATGAACTCATAGTAGATATGAATGTTTTAACTGTAGATGTGTGCACAATAAAACATGATTATCTTTATAACCTTCCCTAAAACTTGAATGAAAATTTTCTTCAATTCAGCTTGTTCTTCCAAATAAATAAATGCAGTAGACTGGAAATTTTATAAAATATATAAAATGTATCCCTATATAGCATCGTATTATTTCAAATACTCTTCTTGTCCATGGCAACATTATGTGCTATTAAATTAGACCAATCCTGCACAGCCCACACACATGCAATTACATGATTCATATATCCACTTATGCAGGCTCACAGAAACAACAACAGCCACCATTCGCCAGGCCAGGTGCACTTTGAGGCCATGTAAAGTGTCCAAGGCTCACCGACAGGAGGTCACGGGACAGACTCAGGTGCCATGGGATGACTGACTGAGATGACTGGCAGATGAACCAGCTGTGCCCCCTAATGTGCCAACTTGCTGTATTTTATCCACCTGGTGCTCCGCTCGTTGTTGTGAGCGTCACTCCTCTGCCCTCCATTATTATTGGAGGGTGACTGCATCCAACTGCCCAGTAGCATCCTCCACGAGCCTCCACCAAAGACACACAAAACAACAAATACTAAGATCCCCCGTATAGCATGAACAGGCTGTAGGGGCAAGTGCTGTTAGCAAGCACCTATAAAGGACGGCACAGCACACGAGGGGGTGAGTGGCCAACACCAATCCCGACCGCCTTTGTTTCCCCAGTGGTGATCTTTACACATTGCACCAGGTACTAATGTGAGGCTGAGTCGACCTAGGGGAGGGCCCGGGACCGGTTTAGATAATCGTCACTGGTGTTTTCCATGAGCAGGAATCGAACCCGAGTCGCGAGGTTGGTAGCACAGCGCGCTAACCGCTACACTACCACTCCCCATAGAAACACGACCATACATATATATTATAATCTGTATACTGTATACACAACACATACACATGTACACACAGTCATACAAATACATACACATTCATAAAAATTCATATACAAATACACCTACACAGAGATGCGCAACAGCTGAATTTGGTGAGCGCCTTTAAAGGCCTGCATGGCACATGTGTTATGGGAGTGGTGGGGCCAGAAACATGCACAAGCTGGGCAGGACCAACTGTTCAAAGAAAGAATCAGAATCAGAATCTTTATTTAGACTGGAGGAAAGCGATGAGCGATAACGCTCTTTTTCGCAGATGTCCAGTAGGAGGCGGGTCAGTAAATTACAATACAAAAACACGACAGGAGTGCACTTAAAATGTGCAAGACCAGTTGTACAGCATTGCAGGGATCAATACAGCTCATTATCATCACAACCATCTTCATCCCAATCAACTCCTTAGTGGGCATTAAATGTGCATTTTAGTGGATTTACTCTGGATTGACTAGCTCTCACCAAAGTAATGTGTGATTTCCACAACTGGCTCAAAATCACCTTCAGAAACGAGCACAGTGAGCTCTTTTGCAGGATAATTATCTTCCTATCAGACCTGTTCCGCAAAGTGCACATGCAATTACAAACTCACACAGAACATGTGTATATGAGATCGATTAGATCCCAATTGGCATACATTTTCACCATGGGCACGGATTGTACTTTGATGTCATGACATTTGTGGTAGATTCCTTCATCCCACGCTAAGTTTCTTCACCCATACCTCAAACCAGAACAGCATATGGCTGGCTTAGGGCAACAGCTAAAATTATCCTGGCACTGATACATTCCATCACAGCAAAATCCCCAAGTATATAAATGGAACCCTAGATGTCCTGACAGTGAATGGGCATTGCAGGGAGTGAAAAGGTTAGGGCAGCAATTCCTCCAATCCGCTAAAATACCCACACTTGGCTCAGTGACCCATTGCAGAACAAGCCTACAGCTCACCAACGTAAGCCATAAGTTGCACTGATCACCAACTGCCGTTTCCTAAACAACATCCAAAGCAGGTAACTGCTCATATGCCCACGGGGTTCAGAAATTGAGAGCCGAGGATTCACGCCATGTGAACTGATATATTGTCAGAGGGCTCGGTTTTACATTTGTCCGAATCAGTTTATATATTAATTTATCCATTCTGTGAGACATTTGCATCCAGCCCAGATTTTTACAGCATGCAGTTATGCACAAGTGTGTTCTTTGTCACCATAATTTTCAAGCGCCTCTAATTAGGGCTGTTTTTTTCAATTGTGATATGTAATTATAATTATAAATGCACCTGCGGCATACCAGCTTTCTCCAGCACACAATGAAGGCATCGGTGAGCTTGTACCTACAGATGAGTTTTTGGGTCGAGTGTGTGCACATATGTACATTAGAACTATTAAAATTCGCATGTATGCGTATATCCCATATATATTTTTTTTAGTAATATATTAATAATTATTTATATATGATCTAAAAAAATCTCCATGCCAGTGACACTTATAATCTGCCTAAAACCTTCTGATTCATGGTTTAAATACAATCTCTACATGGATGCAAAGGTTGACTGACTATTCCTGTATGTAATTAGCAATTAAGTCAAAGTGCAGGAGTGCTTTGTCACATTGGTTCAAAGATTTTGCTGAAATTCTACTGACGCTTGTTTTATTTATGACTATATCACCAGCATCATTCGATATCTTAACCTGTTCTGGACCACACGTAATTTGACTCACCATAAAATTATTTCCTGTCGCAATATCCCAACATCAGTGCTGAGAAACAAAATATTTGTTGTGGTTGTGCTGACCACACCACCTCCTTCTGTGCTGTGCTGGCCTTTATAAGTAATTGTTATTTGTAATTTACATAGTCGGGGTTGTTTGTCACTGTGCCAATCGTATGTGTGTGCATGTGTTAGGTTGTCTCAGTAAGCTGTGGAATAATGCCACAAGAACCAATAGTTTAACCTCTTAATTGGATAGTACTTGCACTGGAACTCGAAATTGTTGAGCAAAGTTATTTGTATAAATTAACAATGACATTTTAATATAGGTTGTTTTTGGTAGTGGATTTAGATAAACTTTTGCTATTATATTCTTAGGTTTTTCGGTAAAGTCACGTAGGTAAAAAATTAAAATTAATAAAAGTAAAATAAAAATAAAAATCACGACGATTCGGAGGCAACACATGCTTCCGTCTTCAGGTGGAACCGTCAAAGCCCGACAGCTCTAAATGAGGTTGCTCATTTACTTGATACAGCTGTCGACGGAAGCTTGTGTTGCCTCCGAAACGTCGTGATTTTTATTTTACTTTTATTAATTATAATTTAAAATTTTTACCTACGTGACTTTACCGAAAAAATCTAAGAATATGAATCCTTGCAGTCACGAAAGCTTCAAATCTAGAATTTTTGCTATTATAATAAGTAAAACAAAATTATACCCAGGGATACTGAGATCGATCACTTTTGGCCAGTTATATGTTTTAACAGCTTTTCAATTAAAATATCACACATACATTAGAGAAAAAGAGTAATTTTGCTTAATGTATCATTATATTCCTTTACATAAAACACAAAAATCAGAAGTGAGGAAGTTAGCAAGCTTCATTACCATTCTAGCAACTCTGGTACAAATTCTGCAGGTGGTATCTGTACCTGGCATTGGAAATCTTCCAAGTCAAAAACTTACCATGGGCCAACAATGAATCTTCAACATGAAGCAGTGATGAAGCAAATGTTACCGAAAAAAACAAAGATTATAAATGTTGCCAATTTCTACCCGTTACTGTCCAGCTCTTTCTCAAAGCTGGCCACAAGAGTTACTTGCCGATAGCACTTAATTTGACATTCAACGAGACCAATGATAAAAAAAAAATTAAACAATATTTATTGCCACGAGGTTAAGATGATAAGCCCTTGATACCTTTCACAAGTGGGCACATTTTGGAGCTCCTAGGAGCGACCAAGAAAATGACTGGGGGCCCAAATCCATCAATCTGTTTTCCCTATGATTAGTGCTACCACTAAGTCTTTACTCAAGGATGGGGCCATTTCTGGACTAATCTCCCCCCCCCCCCCCACTTTACCACGGGTGCAGTGACACTGAGGTGATATAACCATTCTCTTCTCCATTCTGGTTTGCTTTCTATGGGCAGATTGGTCTGGAGACACCTCGTCCTCTGAGTGAGCCCTGCTCCGTGGAGTGCCCACTGGACTGCCACATCTCTAGCTGGACGTCGTGGTCATCCTGCTCACGCACGTGCGGCCTGACAGGTCGGCGACTATCTGCCTGTGTGTGTGTTTGGAATGGTGGCATAGTGGTTTTTGCACTGCGCTGTGAACCATGTGTAAATGTGTTCAATTCCTGGGTATGTAAACATATCGCTTATTCAAATGAATTTTCATGCTCAGAATACATGCATCAAATCACACGTCTATTAAATTATTATTTGCTGATTTCTGCAAATATTCGGATGTTTACATTTGGGCTGAATGAGTGAACAAAACTGTAAGGTCACATCTCTACAAACATGAAGCGATATAAATGAGATTGTGAACACAAGACAAAATAATTTATACTTTAATCGAATCCTGACCCTGACTTGTGGCAATTCTAAGAATCGCTGTGGCAGTGGCTATGATGCACAACTCCAGTAGCATTTGTCTCCAGCACCTATCCAATATTTACTCAGAAAAAAGGTTCTGTACTTAGTGTGGTGTTTTATATTGGCAAAGGGGTGACAAAAGTGGCCAGTATTGTGTGCTGCGAGTTCATTATTACCTGGAGAGATGTGTGGATCACAACAGGAGCCCATTAACAGAGGTAGACCTGACATTATATCAGGTTCAATAGAGTATTAGTGTCATTATCTACATGCATGTTTTTTTTTATATAGCAATGGGAACCATCGTATTTCAAAGAACCACTGGATCATTTTTTTTCCATTGTGCTCATGGAAAGTGTACTTGTGCCCTTAAACAGTTAGTCCATGTTTTTGATACGTATTTTAAATGTCAGCGGCTGCATTTCCAGCCGGACATTTAAAAATGCAAATGTATACGTTTGTTCATGATTAAGGGTTCATAGTGAGCATGGGGAAGACACGCTGCCCAAAATGGAGGGCAAACTAAACGTCATGCCTGCCCTCCTTGGACCTCATGGACTACTCGACAAAGGCAATATAAATGTGTTAACTTTTGCGTGTGCGGCCACAGGTGCTGGTATTTAGGGCGAGTGTACACTCTTACCCTGAAGCAGTTTGTGTGTGCACACACGTATTGGGCTGTGTTGCGCGTGACCGTGTGCGTGTGTCCGTGCGCACCACAGGGATGATGAAGAGAAGTCGCAGAGTTCTCCGAGCTGCTCAGGGCTTTGGTCGGCCCTGCCCCTCCCAGCTGCAGCAAAGCAAACCGTGCACCCCCATGCCCTGCTACCGCCTGCAGCTAGGAGACTGGTCCTCCTGCCAGTTGAACGTGAGCTTCGTCTAATCCCCGTGAACAACAAATGCCCTCAATAGAGCCGTAGGGCACATTCGAATGCTTGCACCCGCCCCTTCGACTCGACCTCACAGACACTCCCCAAGGGGTCACCAGCAGCTATTGCTATTTTCATGAGAGCTTCACGGTCTGCTTGGCGCACCCCCAAATGTCTTTTCATTAAAAATAAATAATCATCACAGCGCGAGTCGTTATGTTATGTTGAATAGTGCATTACAAAATGGTAGGGGACATTAATTTCGCCTGCCCAAGTGTGCCCTTGAATATGACACTATTTATTGACTCCTTTAACAGTCTAAACATCATTAAGCTTTGCTGTAGAGAATAGAAATAAAATATTACGTGGCAATACTGGACAGAATTATTCATGAAAAGTATTAAAATAAAATATTTAATATTTTTTAGTTTTATGGATATTTTTTGTTTACATGTGGCAATATTTAAAAATGTCACAAAGTTGGCAGTTGCCCCTGGACCTATTCATGCAATGTCACAGGTGATTAGGAACAGGAGGCTGCTGTCAGCAGAGCATTTTCGTACATGAATACTTACGTAATCAAACATTTAATAATACAATCAGAGCCCTCATAAATGTACAAAGAGTATATGACATCACCAAACAACAAACGCAATTGAAATTATGAAAGTACCATCCATGATTTATGTTACAAATTCACATCCGTGGATACGTTGACTTTGTGCGTTTTGTGAAAAGAAAATTTGTTGTAAAGTGAAGTGGCGCTATATTGTTTTTTGTGTTTTAATCTCTTTGCAAGACAAAGGGCCTTTACTTGAGATGTTATAACACTCATTAGTATCAAACCAATGTGTCATGTACCATTGTCAAGTAGACAGGCTTCATGTGTGAGATATAGACAGTTTAAAGGTGGGTTTTTTTGTTGCCAGAAAAAAGGGTAAAAAAACCTATTCTCACAGACAGTTTATGTTTTGGTCTATGGTTTTACATTTTAATTGGGTTGGAGTACAGTTGTAAGAAGTGTTGTGGGATGAGGGTGGGAAGGAACACGAGATAGACTGATGAAGGGGGAATAAAAGGAGATGGGGGAAAATATCAGAAAGAAAAAACGGAACGTTGTGAGGGTGAGACAGTAGAATAGAGATAGAGAATGCAAAAGAGAAAAATAGACTTAAGATGACACCTTATGGCCAGTGAGTATTCGCAATACACCAACATTTCATCTACATTGATCAGCCAACCAATAGCATGGCCCCAGAGACAATTAAGCCATGCGACAAATTGTCTTCAGTTTGACTAATTACCTCTACGCGGTGAGAGGCAGCCTTGACTTGCGTGTTTGCCTCAATGATCTGTTTCCATCACAACACCTCGCTGGTCTCATTTGAGTACCCTTTTTTAAGCCATTGCGAATATTTTCTATCCTCATATATTATGCCTCACGGTCTTGTTACCAAATATCTCTCTGCACTCTTGAGGTTTTTCTCAGCCCCTTTTGTTTTGCTCAATTAAAGGTTAACTGCAAAATGTCCTAGGACTTTCCCCAGAGTCCAGTCTACAAAGTATTTCATTAGTCCATAGAAGGTACAGAGTATACGAGTTTGAGTTTAATTAGTTTTATGATACAACTCTTTAAATCCTCAGTGGTAGGTTCATCTGGGTTTTCAAGCACTAAATTTAGACTTAAAACTTTTGTGACTGCAGGAATTGATATTCTTGGTTCTTTCGGTAAAGTCACGTAAATATAAAACAAAAAATCTAAAATAAAAGCAAAAAACCCACGACTTTTGATCGCAACACAAGCGGTCTTCATGAGGCGGAGAGCACTACTTTTAATGTCTGTTTATCTGTGCACTTGTGAGACTATCAGGCTTGGTAGACATGATAAAACATTATAAACAGTAACACCCCAATTTTACGCCCTCCCACTTTACGTGTTTTCGTTATTATTTACTAAAATTATTGATACCCAATCCTATTTTATGCACCGTTTATCTCACTATAACGTACTGGAGAGTTACGAACTTTCTCATTAAGGCCCAAATTTGTTACGTTCCACGGCGAATATCCAAGTGCCAGATGTCCTGAAGCACCCAACCATGAGCATCCCTGACTAGCTATAGTCTCTTTCATGTGTACTCTATGAATATCTCTTTTCCCCACATACAGTATTCATGGCGACTATTTTTATACAAGTGTAAACAATTTGTATATGATAAACTAATATTAAGACGTATAGTATCATAGACATAGTTTATATATCTTAATTAATCAATAATTTACACTTACTTTTCACACCGATGGTTGTATAATATAGATGCGCAATGGGTTACTGAGCATCCTCTGTTTAGGTACTGCACCACGTTACAACCCACCAACAATTATTCGATTTAAGTACTTTCGATTTACATTTTGGATTTCAGGAACACATCTGGGCATAATCCAGGGTATGCCTGTGCCAAGGGTAATGACCCAGGACTTGAATCTTAGTTCTCAGATATGCTGGCTAAGTGCCCTGAAAAATACATCAATGCTCAAGAGTTGTCCAGCCACCTCTTGTATATTTCCTTTTGTTTTGTTTCTCCCAGAAAATATGTGTCATCCTTTCTGCATTCTCAGTTTCTGTCTCATCAGAGTACCCGGATTCAAGATTATTGTGTGCAGTGAATAATCCTTTAAGATGGCATGTCAACAAAATAAAATGTGGTATGATGCTAATAATCTCCCACTTTTAGGAAAATAATGTCTGTTGGATTACCACTACATAAGACTGGATAAATCAAATCAAATAAACATTAATGTAACTTGCAGGTCCATGCCCATTAAACCCTCACGCTGGCCTCCAAGCTCCCCTACACCCATGGAAGATGCCATGCCCAGTAATCAGCTCGGAAGCTTCTTTTCACTGCAGTGTCAACGCTATCTGCTGCTCAATCTCTGACACTGTCCGGCAGATGTCTTGCCACTGGTTCTGGCTTGAGTGTTTATAACGTCAATAGCAGATCAAAGCTTTACCGCTGACAACAGTCTCAATTCTGCCACAAGCCTATTTTCCCACTCTTGTTATCAACTATTGCCCCCAGTGTACCCCCTCCACTTCTCTTGTTCACTATATATTATCTGCTTGGTCTTGACCTTCCCACCTCATGAACCTCATCAATACCCTCTTGCTCTAAACCTTTCTCTTGTGTTCTGTTGTGGTATATTATTGTGTGAACATGGTGATGTGCTCGGGCAGTGTGGCCCATGAGGACATGGGTTGCATGGCATTTTATGGTGTGATATTGGGAGTTTTGCCATCTTGTGCAAAGCAGTATGTGCTGTCTCTTAGGGAGGTGACTGCGGCGAGGGTGGAAGTGTGAGGGAGCTCACATGCCTGTCCCACAATGGCTCAGGAGACGATCCTGTCAAGAAGGTGGAGCAGAGTCTCTGTGAGGAGGTGCCTTGGCGAGAAGTGATGGGGACACTGGGTGAGGAGGGGAGACAGCCCGAACTGAAAAAATCCTGCATCGTGTCCTGTCCAGGTAACACCTTTTCACTTTGAGAGTGTGTGTGTACGCATGTCTGTTTGCATGTATACACATTGTCAGGAGCGGTAGTGAAGTGGTTAGCGCATTGTGATAAAAACAACTGAAAGCCTGAGTTTGTTTCCTGCTCATCGCCAACATCCGTGGCAATATCTGAACCGATCCTCAGCCTTCCCGAGGTCAACTTAAGAAGGCTGGTAAAATCATTACCTCATCATGAACTACATCACATAGAGGTAAGTCAATCCTGTAGAGAGATTGGTCGATACCATAAGAAAATTAAATAATAACGCACTGGACATGCAATTCAGAGGTCGCTGGTTACATTTAACTCCCAGCAAAGCAGGTGATACAATGGTGCAGGTTTCCTTAATTCCCTCACCTCTGTCCATACAGCAGTATAAATTGGCAAACCACAGCTGGTCATTCGGCAGTTTGCGTGTGGTGGAGAAATTGTGTGGGTACTCCCACATCTTCCAAGATATCTGGGCAGAGTGAAGGAGTAGGTTCCTTGAGTTCCCTCTTGTGAAAAACCTGCCAGCAGTGGCATGAGCAATTGTAGGACTGCACCTTTATCTGTTCTTTACCCAGAAAAAGTTTTGAATGAGTCAATAATAATTTTCAGGAGAGTAATGCTCGGGTGAAGTGTGACAAATTCCCTATTTCGTATGGGGTTTTTTTTACATGGGAGAAACCCACATTGCCTGCAGAAAACCACGTACAAGTCAACAACAAAAATAATCTTTAAATATAGTTGAGTAGACTAAAAAAGAAAATTGCCCGAATTTCGTGACTTTTTAAGATTTAGATCACAAATCGATTGATGTTTTTTTCTTTACATTGTGGTGGATTTAGTGGCTCTAGTCGCTAGAGGGATCACGTGGTACACATGCAACATATGTGTACTTATATCTGTATGTACACAGATTGAACTATTTTTGTCATTCCACTGATGGATGAGGGACTGCCTATGCCATTCAGTTCGTGGGAGTTATATGACAATGATTCACAATGTTGGTCCCTGCGGGTTGATAAAGGCAGAGAACATAAACGTTGATGCATAGCACAGCACAACAATTGATTTGTCTGCACTGCCCTCTGCTGATAATGCAGCCCCACAGCAGTCTATGACACCAGTTATTACACGGGGTAGTCGCCCATCCAAGCACATCCAGCCTCAACCCTGATTTGTGTCTGAAATGGAGCAAGATTGGACACATTGCAGTTGATTAGGTCAAAAGCACATGAAACAATTTTGTTTTTAATTTATACATTATTTTGATGCATGTATTGTGAACATAAGAATCACTTTAATCGATGAATCTATGCATCACTACAAGCATAGCAGTCAAGTTTCCCTCATTCCATTTACATTGCAATAATCACAATATTGACCTATTCGTCATCTAAATACGAGGACCATATCTGGATGCAGTAGAGGATAAGATATTCACATCAAATAATAGCACGTAACATACAGACAAGCTGAGCATATGTAACAATAAAACATAGCATGAATAAAGGATGAAAATGCTATGTTATATTTAAATGAGACATCATATGAAATCTTATTCGAAAAGGAGTAGGTGTCCTACACACAATTTCTTAATCAGAAATGAACAGACATAGGACCAAATTTCGATTTAAAGCTTTCGTAGCTGCAGGGATTCATATTCTTGGATCTTTCAGTAAAGTCACGTAGAAGGGAAATAATAAAATAATGAAAATAAAACGTGATAAAATTCTCACGACGCTTCAGCCACAACACAAGTATAGGACCATCATGCTCTGTGCATCCACAACTGGCTCACTGGCAACAAATGTGCTCAGCATCGTCTCCTGTCGCAGTGCTAATTTCAGTAGGGGTACATTGCACTTCCCAGGCGAGCTGAGTTAGGAACAGAAGAGGTGGTCTTCTTTGATTGGGTGGTCATCTTTGATTGATTTAGACCTACTGCCGGTGTCGGAGACCTCTCCAACATTAACATTAGCTGCCCCGCCCATCTCTAAACCTTTATTAACAGCTTGCCCGCAGAGGTTAACCTCCCAGTTCCTGATGACGACTGCTTGTGTTGCGATCGAAACGTCGTGATATTTTTATTATTTTTATCTACTTTATTTTCATTTTTATTATTTTATTGTTATTTTTTCTATCTATGTGACTTTACCGAAAGAACCATAGAATATGAATTCCTGCAGTCACGAAAGTTCTAAGTCAAATTTGATCGCCTTGCTAGGCACGCTGAGGAGAGGCTTGCGGAGCCCCAAAGCGATTTCAGGAAAGGGCGGTCCTGCATAGATGCCATATTTTCTGTCTGTTTGCTACGGTAGAGGTGTAGGGAATTCCAACAAGACCTACATCTCTGCTTTATTGACCTGGTGAAGGCCGATACCATCAGTAGGCCTGAGCTCTGGGTTGTTCTTTGTGTTTTTGGAGTCCTTGACACTCCGCTCACGATCATTAAGGACCTACATGATGGTGAGCGGGCCCGGGTAAAACTACGTGGCCGGGAGTCGGAGCCATTCCCTGTACACCTTGGGGTGCGACAAGGATGTCCTCTGGCTCCCACATTTTCTAACATCTATTTCCACCACGTAGTTCATGAAGCCTTCAATAGCTGTACCGAAGGAATTTCCATCTGGTTGATGGGAAGGCGAGCCCAAAGTAGCCTGGGGCTTACAGCTTCCCACAACTCACCACCACACTCCCACGCCCTCTTCATTCTTTTGTTCAGAAGAAGAGCCACTCTCTGTTGTTTGGCAGTCTCCTGCTCCGAGTGGAGGAATGTCCATCCCTCATGGTGGCAGGAGCCAGAGCCGGTCCACCGGACCTCCTGAATACCACAGAGATCCAGGCGGTACCGGTCCAGCTCCCAACAGAGGAGTGGTAGCCTCTCCTCCACAGTAAGCGTTCGAACATTCCACTTGTCCACATGTAGTGTTTTTTTGTTGTTTCTGGAGGAGCCCCGAGGGTAAGGATTCAGTCTCTTGGCTCCACCAAATGGGGTTTGGCCAGGGGACGTCATAGACGCCTGTCCCCACAGGGCCTCCGGCACAAGATTAATAAAATTTTTAACTCGTAGTTTAGTGGTAATTAATTGAAGGTGGAGGGGTTACCAGCCCCCCGCACCCATCCAGAGCCCCCATTTGGCCGCTGTGGTGGTTACAGACGCCATGAGGGGAATGGCCAATTTAAGTTGGCCCTCCCCCCACGGCACTGCCCACCACAGCATTGCCATCTGGCACCACGAGAAGGTAGGGGGTTGTTTTTGCTGGACCATATTCAACGCACTTTATCACACACACCACACAAGCATGCAATACTTGAGTAAATCTGAGAACAGCTATAACAAATCCTATGATATAAAACTACACATGAGCAACACTGCACTTAGTATTCTCGTAGGGAAAAAGTCGACCACAATTAATGCCATGAATGACACATTTTAAACAAATTAAGATGTTACACTACAGCACTGTAAATTATCTTAAAATGCCAACTATGTTTTACTACTTAAATCGTATGTTGTTGTGCATTGTGCCCGGAGTACATGCATACTAATTTAATCCTAGCTGAGCACTGTTCTTCACGCACATAAGCAAAATTGTTTATAGCATCATTGATGAATTGTAAAGACAATTTTAAATGATTTATAGGTGCAATGATGTGCATTTTTTTAGGTGCTTTTAAGTTGGGCAAAGTCTCAAGAGAAAAAAAGTAAAAAAAAAATGTTTTACAGATTTTAATATATATACTTTTTTTCACTCTCTTCATGTTATGCAGAGCAGCACTGCTGAGTTGCCTATTTATAAGACAATCCAGCATTTCTGGGTGGTTTGGGAACATGTTGCATGTTTCTGCTCATAAATATTACAAAAACACTGGTACACAATGGAATAAGATGCACGCACATTTGGAAAATAGCGGACTTCAATCATGTTGGAGAAGCCGGGTCAGGGTAGAAAGGGCAATGTAAAAATGGGGAGGAACATTTGTCAGTTGACTCTTCTTTGTCACACACAGTAAAGGGTCAGAGGTCTTCCCTACAGAATGCAGATATTAGGTTAACCCAGACAAGTGTGGTATAAAGGGGAGAATATTTTAAATCCCAGAAGCAACCACTGATGAGGAACCAAGCTTGCTGCCTTTGAGCTTCTCACACGAAATTATTTCATTGCTGCCCTGTCAACAACTCTACGTGAGTTTACAATGGTTTATTTCAAATAACTGGTTATTATTTAACTTCATGCTGCACGTCTCTTATTAAACTTGGTGGCCACTGGAGTATTGCCGAGCGGTGAGGTGTCGCCTTCGATCCAAGGTGTCCCAAACTGACCCAGGACTTTCAGGACCAGGTTGAAAAATGCACGTCAATGGGAAATTTCCAGATTGAGCTCTACTGGTAGTAATACACAGGGCTTAATTTCAGCCCAGTCTATCCGGGTCTGTGGGGCAGAAAATATATATGTATCAGGCACACAATATCCAAGTTACCTATTGCTCTGACTGGGTAATCGTCGCGTGCCAGTCTACCAGCGACTCTGCAATATTGAGTAATTAAGCCCTGATTATAGATGTTTGCGATCTTTGTGATGTTAACTCTCCTGGATATATATGTGCATAACAGCCAAGGTTCTATACAAACTACATTCAACACCTCGCAGCACTCTTGTGTGACATGCAATGTTCCAAAGTGAACGTCAACACACCTACACATTTTAAGGCGCTCCAAATTGCAAATGTCCAAATTAAATGTTTGGGTGTGCCAAATAGGTGGAGCTCTTTGTAAAACACTTCATGTTATCACAAAGGTGATAAAGTGTACATATAAAAAAACATTCTCAGTGTATCACTCAGCAACTCACCACGACGCCCTTTTTCAGATGCCGTTTCTTAAATTGAGTTTGAATAGAGTGTGGTTATAATCCTGCAAACTTTCATTGAATGTTTTTATTATCAACTTATAATCAGCGTCCGAAAGGAAATAAAACAATGT